GCCATGCTGACCTTGAAATTTACGTGGCCCCGTGGCGCTTGCCGGCTTGATCTCGAATTTGACGCGCGGCCTGTGCGCGTCCGTCTGCCTGTGCTCCATGCAATGCGCCTGCGTGCGCGCGCTCGCATGGTGGTTTCTGCATAGTCCGTGATAGGGTCGCTGGCACATGGGCCCGGGACCTCAAGTGGCCCCGTGGCGGTTGCCGAGTGGATTTCTTCTTTCTTAACTTGCGGCGAGGACGTGTCCGCCCGCGCGTGCCCCATGCAATGCGCTCGCGCGCGCACGCTCGCTCGGTGGTTTCAATATTGTCTGCTATCGGATTGCCGGCATGTCTGTCTGAAAGCTCAAGTGGCCCCTTGGTTGTTGCCGTTTTGATATCCCATTGAGCATGCGGCCTGTGCGCGTCCGCTTGTTGGTGCGCCGCACAATGCGCCTGCGCGCTCTCTCGTTGTTTTCTGTAGCGCCAGCAATAGGATCGCCGCCGTGCTGGTCCAGCAACGCAAGCGGCCCCTCTAGCGGTGGCCGGCTGGATTTCCCACTTGGCCTGCTGTCTCTACGTGCCCGCGCGTTGGTGCAAGCACGCGGATGCGCGCTTGCGCGGTGGTTTCTATATTGTCCGCAATCGGATCGCCGCTACGCCTGCCTTGAAGCTCAAGGTGCACCTGAATTGTTGCCAACTGGATTTCCCATTGACAATGCAGCCTGTGTATCTCCGCATGCTGGAGCGCCATCGAATGCGCCTGCGCGCTCGCGTGGTTGTTTGCGTATTGCCGCAATAAGATTGCAGCCATGTTGGCCAGGCAACGCAAGTGGCCCCCCTAGCGGTTACCGCTTGGCTTTCCCACTTGACGTGAGGTTTGTGCGCGTCCGCTTGCTGGTGCGCCATCCAAGGTGCCTGCGCGCGCGCTCGCTTGGTGTTTTTGCGGCGTCCGCACGAGCATCAGCGCCATATTGGCGTGGAATCGCAAGTGCCCCCTTTGCCGATGCCGATGGGATTTCTTAGTGGACATGCGGCGAATACGCGTCCGCCTGTTTGTGCGTCGTATGATGTGCCTACGCGCGCACGCTTGGTGGTTTCTATTTTGTCCGCAGTTGGATCGCTAGCAACGCGGCCTTGGAATTCAAATGGTCCCTTAGCGGTATGCTGCCTTTACGTGTCCGCGCGTTGTTGCACCATGCAAGGCGCCAGCGCGCTCGCGGTCGTCCGCAACGGGGGAAAATCACGAAATAGAGGCAGTCCTCCATCGTTTTTGTTGGTTTGGGGGGGGGGGTCCAAAGTTGTTTCGTGCACACTTGTGGTATTCGGTTGTTTTTTTCCTATATTGCAGAAGTCGGTTTGACATTTTGGATTGTTTCTTTCAAAATCGGTGGGAGGACGCGCTCGGCTTTATCATAATGCTGGTAGTCAGAAGAAAGCGCGAGATTGCGCGGCAAGGAACCACGAGGGTTCTCACGCAACGCTGCTGGGCCCGCATTGATCGTCTCGTCGCTGGCGGCGGCCAGAGGCCTGCCGTGCACCTTGCCCCATCTGGCTCGACGTGAAGATGGTCGTCTTCCTGACGATTGCGGCACCATCCTGCACAACGTGAAACGGAGAAACTCCGTGTACGGCCGACGGCTAGCGAGACACCAGTCCAGCAGAGGTGTCTTCTCCACCCAACAACACCATGTCAACCAATCGGATGTTGGAATTTGTAGAAAATGAACCGAGAAAACGAACACCGTTATAGCTGACACACACACACACACACCTTGGCCATTGCACACCTGCTGCCAGTTCGTCAAGGCTGAAACTAGTGATTACCGGCGGCGTATTGCAAGAGTAGAGAATAGAGAAGATCAGGAGAGCCAAAACGTATTTGGGCTTTGGCGGGGAAGCGCAATTGCGTGGTGCACCCGCAACGGTTGCCCGATGGTCTGGCACACCGTGTTGTGTCTGCACCCCGCCGCACAGGCGTGACGGCCACAGGTGACCGCAGAACGAGTCCAGCCAGGCAGTACGGGCCCAAAAAGTGGCCGAGGTATGGCGACGACAGGGATGATGATGCTGATGATGATGAATCTGATGATGACGATGAAGGTGATAGTAATGGTTGCGGTGATGACGATGCCCAGCATGGTCAGAATGATGACGATTATTGGCATGATGTTCATCCCGATGATGACGGCGATGATGATTGCATAAACACAACGGTGCTTACGATGCTGACGATGACCATGGTGATGGTGATTTTGATGATGTTGATGATGACGGTGACGATGATGGTGATGGTGACGCTGATGGTGATGATCATGATAGTGATGGTGCTGATGGTGTTGCTGATGATGATGGTGATTCTCATGACGACATTCTTCGAAACGCCCCGAAGCGCGACTCCAAGAGACCTCAAGAGACTTTCACAGGTTCACAGGGAGCTTCCAGAAGCCTCTCGAAGGCCCGGTCCGAGCCCCCAACACTTCCACAATGCTCCCCGAGGCGCGCATCCGACCTGATGCTGGATTGCTTCTCTCCCGACGGCCCGTCCGAGCCTGTCACACGTAGCAAGCCTCATGTTCCTGGAGCCCTCTCCGGGAATCTCTGGTCGAAGGCTCGGCGATGATGCTAATAATGATGTTCATCGCGGCGATATTGACGTTGATGGTTCGGATGATAGCCATGATGATGATCATGGTTCTAATGATAATAACGGTGGAAGTGATGAGGATGATGATGATGATGATGATGATGATGATGATGATGATGATGATGATGATGAGGATTATTTTGATGATGATGCAGCCCCCGCCTCAAAAGGCTCCCAAGAGGCTCCCAAGTGGCCTCAAGAAGGTCCCACGACCGGGCCAAGATGTGCTCAATAAGTCGTTGACGACGATCTTGTTGCTCATGGTTGCGATCGAAAGGAATATTACGGTGACGATGGCGGTGTCGATGTTGATGTTGATGCTGATGTTGTTGATTTTGTTGATGTTGATACTGTGAATGCTTGTGCGGAGGATTGGGATGAGGAAAATGATGTCGATATTGATGATGCTGATGGTCATGATGCTGCTGCTGATGATGACGATACTGATGATGACGACGATAATGATGATGATGATGACGACGATACTGATGATGATGATGATGATGATGATGGTGATGATCATGATGATGGTGATCGTGATTGTTGTGCTGCTGCTGCGGGTGATGTTTATCATGTTGATGTTAGCAGTACGGAGTATGATGATGAGCTCGAGGATGTTCATGCGGATGATGATGGTGTTGACGATGACGATGAATATAGTTAGGGTGTGCATGATGCAAACGATGAGAGTAAGACTGAATATGTTGATCATGCTGATGATGATCATGATGCTGATTAGGGTGTTGATGATGTTGATGAAGGCGATGATGCTGATGATGCTATTCGTGATGAATAAGATGTTGCTGCTACTGATGGCGAGGGCGATGATGCTGAATAGGATGGTGATGGTGATGATGGTGTTGATGATGAGGATGATGATGATCATGCTCATGTTGATGGTGATGATGATGATGTTGACGACGATGCATATGATGATGCTGAAGGTCATGGCGACGCCGACGACAATGATGATGATGGTGGTGGTGATGATGATGGTGCGGTTCGTGGTGTTCATGGTGATGGTGATGCTAATGTTGACGACGACGTCAATGATGAAAACGGCTATGGTGACGATGCAAAGGATGTTGATGTTGATGGGAATTGAGACGGTAGTGATGATGGTGACGATCATCATTGTGACAATGATGATGTTTCCGATTCTTTTGCTTCAATCGGCGGCCGCCTCTTTGGCTGCTGGGGAGTCCCCAACTTGCCCGAGAGAGCGCCAAGAGGAGCCACAGAGGCCACCAAGACGCCTCCAAGAGCCGTCAAGAGCCGTCAAGAGCCTCCCAAAATGACTCAAGCGATCTCGAAGAGCCTGGTCTGACGGCTTCCGCAGGCGTCAGACGGGCCAAGAGAGCCTGCGAAGCCCCTTCAAGGCCCCAATGCAGCACCAAGAGGCCCACAAGAGGCCTCCAAGATGCCCCCAAGAGGCTTCCAAGAGTCCAACAGGACGACTTACTCATTTATAATTGATAGGAAACTACAGGTTCTGAAGAACTCACCTTTTCGCTCTCGATGGGCCAGCCTCTCAGACCTCTAGATGCCCTCCAGACGGCCCGAGGGGCTCCCGAAAATACAGCATAGGGTACCGAGAGAACCTTCAAACAAATTCCAGGAGCCCGCCCCCCCAAAAAAAACGCCTCCAAGAGGCGACCCTAGGCGCGCAGTCGGCCGGATGTTCTGGGAGGCCTCTCCGGGAACATCGGGCCGATGACGACGATGACGATGTTGACGTTAAGTTTGGTGATGACGAGGAGGAGGATGAGTAAGACGATGATAGTGACGATGTGCACGATTAGCGTAGAGGTGTTGTTGGTGATAGTGATTGGAATGATACTGAAGATGATGATTCGGATGATAATGAGGATACGTATTATGATGAGGATTCGGATGCTGAAATTGTTTATGCTGATGATGATGATGATGATGATGATGATGATGATGATGATGATGTTGATGGTGATGCTGATGCTCGACTTTGAAGAGACGACACGGCTAGCAGCACTGGGCCAAGGATGCTCCCCATGATATCGTCGTTGTTGTTGTTGAGTGGTCACGATGATTATTTTGATGGCGATGCCTAAGATGATAAGGAGGAGTATACGGATGAGAAAGGGAATGAGGAGGGTGCGGATGGGTATGACTATGTTATGCGCTTGTGTATGATAGCGCTGTGCAAGCTCTTCCAGCGAACCCCCAGCCTGCGCGAGAACCTGAATGCTCGCGAAACGCCCGCACTGGTTTTATCACATATATATATGTATATATATATATATATATATATATATATATATATATATGAGGGGTGGTGTGTCGGCCAGTGGGGCCAAGGCCATGCCAGGGGGATGGGAATCGATTCAACGATGCTCGGAGGCGCTGGAGAGGGTGAGCCGGGGCGGCCTGGGTGCGAAGGTTCAAGAACAACCAGGCCATACGAACAAATTTTCGGAGCTTCGCGCGGATTTCTTGGATCAGCGCTGGGCCCCCTGGTGGCGCCTCCGTCACCGCCCTTGGCGTGCTCTGCGCGCCAGGCAGGGGGGTCGTGCACATGACGCGGATACTCCCCTGCCACTGAGTTGATGCTGAGCTACACTGTCAATGCCTCGCTGTTCTGGGGCTTTGCTGTGTGCTTGGTCGCTAGAGTATCTGGCACGCGTTTGGAGCTACACTGTCAATGCCATGCTTCCCTGTGGGTTCGCTGTGTTGCGTTCCTGCTCTGAATACACACCGCTCGAGGCGGCGGAGAGCCTGTGAGACCCATCCAACAAGAAAAGCACCGATCCAAGAAATCCGCGCGGACCTCCGACAGTTCCTGCGCACTCCGCTTTCTGTTCCTCCGGAAGGGGCGCCAGTGGCTCGGCTCCCGGCCGGCGGTGGTCCGCGCGGACCGCGAGGTGGTGCTGGCGGCCGTGCGGCACGACGGCTGCGCACTCGAGTTCGCGGCCGAGGAGCTGCGGGCCGACCGCGAGGTGGTGCTCGCCGCCGTGCAGAAGAGCGGCTTTGCCCTGCAGTTCGCCTCGGAGGGCCTCCGCGCGGACCGCGGGCTCTCAGCATCGGTTAGCGTCGATCTAGCGTAGATTAGCGTCGATTGGCGTCGATTGGCGTCGGATAGCGTCGAGTCGCGAGAGCCAGCAAGATGACATGAGAGGCCTCTTGGGAGGCCCTCGTCGCCACGGCCAGATTCGCTTCGACATTCCTGGTCAGAACGCACGCCGGGACATGTCCTCGGAGTCGCGGTATCATTATTTTGTTGTGCTCCCCAGGTTCCTGCTCGCGGCGGTGCAGCAGAACGGCTTCGCGCTGGCCTGCGCCAGCCCCGAGCTGCGGGCCGACCGGGAGGTGGCCCTGACGGCCGTGGCAGAGGATTCGAAGACGAAACGTCGATGGTCCTCAGGACGGATGTCAGCCCAATGTGCGCTTCCCCCGTTCGGCCCCACCGATAACCCGCAGCCCTCTGTTGGCCCTCTCTGCACCACCTACGTCGCGTTGAAGGGCTTCGGTGGACAGGCACGCGTTGGCGCTAACGCATTCTGAGGGTAATCGGGAACAGCTGCATATGATGGGCCGATCTTCCACCACCACCACTACTACCATGGATAGGACGGGGGAGGATGGGAGTTTCTCCTCCTCCTCCTCCTCCTCCTCCTCCTCCTCCTCTCCTCCTCCCTCTCCTACCTATAGTAGTGGTGGTGGGAAATCGGCCTTTCAGCAGAACCACAAGCATTTGGAAGTTCCCGCGGGTTCCTTGCACCTGCGCTGGGCCCTCCAAGGCGGCGGCGCGCTCCGCGCGCGCCAGGGAGGGGGGCCCAGCGCGGATCCAAGGCATCAGCATGGACCTTCGAAAGTTTGTGTGTCAAGGCGTTCCTTGCTCCTCCAAGGATCGAGCAGGGGATCGACTACAGAACTAATTGACCAGAAGATTGAATTCCTCGTCGAGTCTACAAGAAGGGCGTTGCACTTTTTCGTGGGTCCGACGAAAACACCAACTTTGGGTAACTCAATTCTGTAGTCGATCCCCTGCTCGAGCGGATCCTGGCTTCCCAGATGGGGTCGGAGTGGATAGGGGTTGGAGGATCGCCCTGCATCGCCGATGCATCGGCGATGCGGCTCGATGCGGAGCTCGATTCTTTCTCCATGCCAACGTCGCCGATGCATCGCCGATGCATCGACGAGAATGCATCAGCGATGCATCGGAGATGCGGGCCCGATCCTCCGACCCCATCTGCTCCGACTCCGTCTAGGAGGCTTCTGAAGGATCGAGTAGGGTATCGATTACGGAATTGATTCACCCCAGAATTATTCATCACGTTGAATATATATATAGAGAGAGAGAGACCAATACGTATAATTTTCGTAGATATACCAAAGTTCTACGCATTGCCCATGGATTCGAAGAGAAAAATCCATCCAGGGGGAAATCAATGCTGTAGTCGATCCCTTCTTCGAAAGGATGGGGCTGCCCTCGAGTACGTCTCCGAGGAGCTCCTGGCGGACCCCGACGTCGTGGCGGCGGCGGTGCTCGGGTCGCCCGCCGCGGCGGAGCACGTGCCCGAGGGGCTCTGGAGCAGGCACGGCTTCGTCCTCGCTCTGGCAGCCCGGGGCGTGGAGCCCGGAGGGCGGGACGGCGGCGGCGCGCCCGGGGGAGAGGGGGGGGTCAGGAGGAGTCGGGGCTCCAGAAGACTAGAGGCGACGCGAGGGGCGAATGGCCCAGGGGGGAGCAATACATGTACTCAGGGGCACCGATGATCTGTGTCTTCGAAAAGGCTCCTGGGCGATAATGTGTAATGCCCGCCCCTGGGCTATTCGCCCTTCTCGTCGCCGCCGAAAAGGACGGGGTCCATGCAAGTGGGGGTCAGCCAGGGCGCCAGATTTTGCAGGATGTCCTGCACGGCCAGCGGTGCAATGGCCCGGGCTCGGGTGCGGGATCCTGCAGGATTCTGCAGCAGCTGTGGCAGAGTCCTGCAGTCAGCATCTCCCCGAAGGTGCAGCGCAGGTGATCGGGCGTCCTGGGATAGCTTTTCGTGTTGCCGTTCGCATAGGACTGCAGTCGCTTGGGGAAGCTGGGATCAGGAATTCTGACGAGGTTTGAGGCGGTCGGCGCAAAGCCAACGTGATTAACATCGGGATGCAACGTACTTGCGGCCACCGTAGATAACATCGCCATTGTTCAAAACTCGCACTACACACCTTGCTACCACATCCCTTTCTGACCTCTAGATTCTCAGATGGCGGCGAGGCCTCTCAGAAGCCCTCCAGCCTACTGAGCAGTTTTCTGTGTCTCTTTAGGGAAGACGTAACTTCTCAGGAGGGGGCGAGACCTTCCGAGCCTTCTAAGAAGGCCCGCCCCTTCTCACTTCCCCCCCACGGTCGCCGCCGAGAAAAGGTGCTGATGCCCCTATCCTTGCCTCGCTGTCGCCTTTTGGTGGGCCTCCTGGGATGTACTCGTCGCCACCGCTGGATTCGCCCCGAAGTTCTGGTGAGAGCGCACCCTGGGAGAGGTCCGGGGAGTAGTGTATGGGGATCCGTAGATTTCCCCAGGAGCGGGCGGTGCGAGAGATCCACCAGAACCGCGACATGGCCATGCTGCATGTGGAGGTGGAGCCAGCTGCGCTCGAGGCGCTCCCGGACGCCATGAAGCTAGACATGCACTTCTGCCTGGACGCCATCGCGCGAAACGTGCTGGTCTTGGGCCACGTGGCTGCGAGCCTGCGGGCGGACCGCACCTTCCTCCTCGAGGCGGTGCGGCGGAACGCGTGTGCCTTCCGCTATGTCCCCCACGAGGTGCAGGTGGTCACTCCACTCCACTCCCTGAAATCGGATATCAGTTACCGACCTAGTTCAGCCGAGATCTAGTTCTACCGAAACTAATTTTACCGAGCTGGGGCCTGAATCTTGAGTATATGTCCCCAGAGCGCTGCTGAGATTATGATGATGTTGCCGTTGCTGCTGGTTCTGCCACTCGCCGTTGCCAGAGGGCCGCGGCTGCATTTCTGTGGACGCGGGTTCCTGGCCTTACCCCGCCACTGACGTTGTCGGCGTGCTCCACCCAGGATTAACACCCGATTGAGCGGCCGCTGCCGCCCAAGCCGCCCCCACCCAACCCGAAGGCCCCAGACGCCGCCACAGAAATATGTATACAGACACCCTCCAATGGATTGCTCCTGGGCCTCAGGGGAGGATGGTGCCGCATGAGTCACAAATGCGAGCCAGCGGCTTTATACACCAACGCCCTCCCTGAAGGTGCATGCAAAATTCGTCGGAGGGTATATGTGTCTATATGTATGTGTGGTTGTGTGTATGTATATGCGTGTATATGCATATGTGTATATACACATATATTCGTGGTGCCTAGACCACCCCGATTTCCGGGTTGGGGGGTGTCGGGGGGTTCATCGTGTTTCCTCAATGTTCTTGAGTGCCCCCCCCCCACCGTGAATTGACGAGCCCAGCGGTGACTTCGGGTTGGGTTGGGGTGGTTTGGTTGGCAGTCAGGTGGATGCTGCCTTTGTCGCCCAGGCCGCGTCGGGCAACGTCGCCGTATTGGAGCACGCGCCCATGGCGCTCTGGAGCGGCGAGTTCGCGGCCGCCGTGGTGCAGCAGGAGGGCATGGCCCTGAGGTACGTGCCAGACGGCCTGCGCGCGGACAAGGCCCTCGTCCTGGCGGCGGTGCGGCGGCGAGGGCGGGCGATCGAGCACGCGCCGCTGGAGTTCAGGATCGAAGGCGAGGAACAATACGATTCAGGAGTCATCTGCGGCATGGGGTATATTTGGCGTGCGTGGCGAAGGTCCGGATACTTTCATGATGCTGGCAGTTGGAGGTAGTTGCGCCCCTGGCCTGGTTTGGACCGTTGCGAAGCCGAGCTCCTGGCGTTAGAGCTTGCCGTGGCAGCGTGTTGTCTCTCCTTGTAGTCAACGGGGGGGATGGGATTCCTCACCAGCACGACGCCTTGCTTCACGATCCGAGTGGCCCCAGTTGCGGGCTGAGCCGAAAGAGCCGTGGGCTGCGGCCACACAGGCCCCAAGCAGCCACCAAACGAAAAGAACGAATCGTCTTAAGGAGCTGCGCGAACCTTCTCTCTCCTCCTCCTCCTCCTCCTCCTCCTCCTCCTCGTCGTCCTCATCCTCCTCCTCCTCCTCCTCCTCCTCGTCGTCCTCCTCCTCCTCCTCCTCCTCCTCCTCCTCCTCCTCCTCCTCCTCCTCCTCCTCCTCCCCCTTCTCCTTCTCCTCCTCCTCCTCCTCCTCCTCCTCCTTCTCCTCCTTCTCCTCCCCCCCTCCACCTCCTCTCGGAGCTCCGCGCGTATTTATTGGCTCTGCGTTGGGCCCCCCCAGCGGCCCCTCCAGCGCTGCCCCTGGCGCGCGGAGCGCGCCAGGGACTGGGTTCCAGCCTCGACCCAAGAAATACGCAGAGTTCCGACGAAAGTTTTCTTTCTCTGAAGGAGGGACTCGGAGTGCATGGTCGCCGCCATCCAGCAGGACAGGGCCGCCCTGGAGCTCGTCCCAGTGGCCCTCTGGTCGGACCACCTCTTCGTGATGCACGCGCTCACGCGCGGCTGGTGCACGCTGGAGCGTGCCGCCTTGGAGCTCCGCCAGGACTCGGCGCCAAAGGAACCGCCCCAACCCCTGCTGGGACAGGGCAGGGTTGGAGCGGGCTTGGGGGCCGAGATGGCGACTGTTGGTCCCGGCCAGCAGAACGGTGGGAGAAAGGGGCCCCCGCGTCGCCACGGCTGGGCGCGGCTCGAGAGACTGGCCAGTTTCGACCTGGGAGGGGCCCACGGGACAGAGTTTCAGCGGATCTGCCCAAGTCTGAGTTCTCGCGGGGCCCACTCAGCGCAGACTCCCCAGCCGCTTCCAAGGGCAAGGTGGCTCTCCCATCCTGCCCCCCCTCGTCAGGGGTTGGTTGGTGCTGCGAAGCCTGGAGGACCCACCCAGGAGGGGTGGGTTGGGCCGGGCGGGCCCAGGCTGCAGATGGATCGCCCCAGAGCGTTCCAGAACGCTCTCAGCGCGTGCTGGAGCACTGACGCGGCGCCCGATGCATCCTCCGGACCCGCCAGCTCTCAGATCGGGGGTGGACAGACATCCTACCCTGGCACGTCGATTAGTGAATTGTCCGTTTTCGGTTCTCGAGAGGGCGCCGCGGCCGTCATTTTCTAGGCTTGCGCCCGCCAGGTTTGGGCCCGAGGTCGTTATCACGAAACCACATTTTACTAAAGGGGGTTCTGTCATGCATCCTCCAGACCCGTCAGCCCTCATAGCTTCCCGATCCGTCGCCATCCGAGTCTGACTTCATTCTGCGCTCGTCTCAGTCTGGGATGGCTTTCCGGCAAGGGTCGCGTCTTGTCGACGCGGAGGGATTTCAGCGCGGGCGTTCAAGGTCGGACGCCGCGGCCGACATCAAGCGATCTGCGCTAGCGGACATCCGCGATCGTTCGAGGTTGAAAGATCCACGTGGCGGTCACGAACCAGCGCGCAATTCGCCCCGCCACGAACCTGCCGCAGACTGGGTGCTGGGTTACTGTATCACCCAAAGGGCACCAGCAGGTTCTCAACCTCCACGCGTATCAACAAGCAGGGGAGCCTCCACCCCAGCGGCTCCGCGCTCAGGTTCTGCTCTGATCCAATCCTTCACTTGTCTTGTCTCTTTTCCGCTCCTCTTCTTGCTCATTTTCTTCTCCTTGCAGTGCTTGTTTGGAAGGGGGAGCCTCTTGGGGGAGGCCTCTTGAGCCGAGTGGGATCCATCTTGGGTCGTCTTGGCGCGTTCTTGGACGGCCATGGCGACTTTTTGGGCCTTCCTGGGTTCTCTTGGGCGTAACTTAGCCGTCATGGGCGTCTCTTGGACCGTCTCTTGGGCCGCTCGGTGTTTCCACTAGTGCCTTCTTGGGGACGGGGCTCAATCTATTCGCCCCACCAGAACGTCATCACTCCAGCCTTTCCTCTGCCCCCCAGGGTTGGCTCGGTCTCTGCCTCACCTTTTTGTTGCCCCCTCCAGTGCTGTTGCCACGGCATGGCCCGAGGCTGGCCTGCGTGGTGTTGCTGCTGGATACGGTGAGAGCATTGGAAAAGTAAACCTCGGATAAGCGATCCAGGTCTTGGAAGCTGCTGGAACTCCAGTCGTGGATTGCCCATGGACATCACCGCCACCCTCATCAAATAAAACGTCCGCCAGAGTCAGAAGCCTCCTGACTCCTGGGCACATTTCCCAACGAACGCCCCCAACGTTTTGACACGCTTGTCCGGAAGGACCGTGCCTTCGTGCGCCACCTCCTGTGACAGGAGAAGGATGAGGAGGAGGAGGAGGAGGAGAAGGAGGAGCAAGATGATCATGTTGATAATGATGATGATGATGAGGAGGAGGAGGAGGAGGCGGAGGAGGAGGAGGAGGAAGAGGAGGATGTTGAATATGATGATGCTGCTGCTGCTGATGAGGATGATGGTAATGATGATGATGATGCCGCCGATGCTGCTGCTGTTGATGATGATGATTATGCTCATAATGATGATGATGATGCTGATGATGATGATGAGGAAGAGGATGATGGTAATGATGATGATGATGATGATGATGATGATGATGATGATGATGGTGATGATGATGATGACGATGCTGATGCTGATGCTGCTGATGATGATGACGATGATGATGATGATGGTGGTGGTGGTGGTGGTGGTAGTGGTGATGATGCTGCTGCTGCTGATGATGATGATGATGATGACGATGATGATGATGATGATGATGATGATGATGATGATGATGATGATGAGGCTGATGATGCGGAGGAGAAGGAGGATGAGGAGGAGGAAGAAACGGATGATAATGTGGTGGAGGGAGGAGGAGGGATGAGGGAGGAGGGAGATGGAGGGAGGAGGGAGGAGGACGGAGGAGGAGGGAGCAGCAGGGAGGAGGAGGCGAAGGAGAAGGAGGAGGAGGAGGAGGAGGAGGACGAGGAGGAGGATGACGAGGAGGAGGTTGGAGGAGGGAGGAGGTAAGAGGGAGGAGGGAGGAGGGAGGAGGCAGGGAGAGAAGGAGGGAGGGAGGGAGGGAGGAGGGGGAGGAGGAGGAGGAGGAGGAGGAGGAGGAGGAGGAGGAGGAGGAGGATGAGGAGGAGGAGGAGGAGGAGGATACGATGCGATACGAAAGCAATTGGGGTCGATAAACTCCGTCTTCGCAGTTTCGCTGCACAGAAGCCTCGACGCTTACAGCCAGGGCTGAAGACACAGCAGGATATGAAGGGACTTGGCGTCCGTAAAAAAACTGACCCTGTGCGGGTTACAGCCATCCTCTCAAAACCTTTGAATCGTGGCCCTGCGGCGGTCACATAACCGCTAGGCCGCGAGGAACGCTGTGGCGGGGAACGGCCCCGCAGCGACCCCGCTGGCACTAGCAGCACTCTCAGGCGTACTTTCCCTTCCCCCAACCCCGCCCCCTGTCCTCACGACGACGACTCTCCCCCTTCCCTTTTTCTGAGAGTGGCACTACAAAATTGCCAGCAATAGAACTCTGACTGATGGCCCCACGCGCGGCCAGCTCTCGAAAGCGAACACTAGAGGCGAAGGCAGGAGACGGGCGCACAGGCTTCACTTCTGACCTTCCCTCTCGAGTAAGCTGCTGACCTGGCGCTCGAGCGGGCCCTTCGGCGCTGAGCCAATCAGCTGGATGGCTTGCAAGTCCTGAAGGATGAGATCGACCAGCTCCATCACCGCCGCCGAGCTCGGGTTCGGGCCCATCGAGAACTGCAGACGAACTTTGCCCTCCATGTTATTCGAGCCTGGCCCTCTTGGCGCGCGGATGGAGAAGTGCCTGATGAGCGAGGCGAAGGAGGAGGAGGAGGAGGAGGAGGAGGAGGAGGAGGAGGAGGAGGGGGGGCGAGAGCTTGCAGGACCGCGCCTTCGTCTGCCGTCTCCTGCGGCAGGGCGTCGACTGCCTCCAGCACGCGGCCCCCGCGCTGGCGGCGGACCGCGGCGTGGTGCTGGCGGCCGTGCGGGCTGGCGGGCGGGCGCTGCAGTACGCCAGCGAGGAGCTGCGGGGCGACAGGCAGCTGGTGCTCTTGGCGGTGGCCCAGGATTCCTCGAGAAGGGGGGTCAGTCGAGGGGGGATCGTTCGAAGGGGGGAGGTCGTTCCAAGGGGGGATCGTTCGAGGGGGATCGTTCGAAGTCCGAGGTTCTCGGGCTCAAAGTTTAAGGCGTTCGGGCGTTTTCGTCGGTTCTCGGCGGTTCTCCAGTCTTGGGGTGCATTCCAGCGGCTGCGCCACTTCGAGGGCGTTCTGGGGGGGGGCCTGCATCGTCCCGAACGGCCGCCAGGGAGCCTAGCAGTGGCCCGAAAGCCAGGGGCACTGTTAGGGGGGGGATCGGCTCAGGGAGGGATGCATCGACCCCTAATGGCCCATTGATCGCCGATAGGGGCCCGATAGCCCGCCCCGCCCAGGAACGCTCGGATTCGCCATCGGGGGCCTATATCGCCGAGCTATCGGCAGTATATGGTCTATTCAAGCTCGAAGTTCATCCCTTGAGCTGGTCCCCCCCAGCGTTGCCCTTCAATCAGGTGAGGCAAGACGCTCAGACTCCACAGCCGACTTGCTACACCGTGTCGCATTTCCAAGGCGGGGATCTATCCATAATCACTGCCCTGGGGGATCTATCTTCGGAGACATCGACAGGCGGTGGATGTGGATGTATTCGGGCCCTGGGAGGGGGCACAGTTTTGCTGCCAAATGGTATGAGCAGCGTGTCTTAAGTGCATATGTGAGAAGACTGCTCATTGGAGGGACGATTATGCCGACAGGGCGTGCCCAACCCTTTCGCCGGTTGTCGTGAGCGCTGTACCGCTGGCAAGGGCGTGATCGTGCCCCTCCCACCGACTGGTTGCAGCGAGCTCTCGGGTCTGGGCGTCCAGTCTCTACAATTCAGCTTCGGGTAGCGTGAGCAGACCCATGGACAGAACCGCTTGCTGACACTTGGTCCGCCTCCTGTCCGTAAGATCTAATTGGACCGCTTGCTGACACTTGGACCGCTTGCTGACAATTGGTAAGATGTCGCAGAAGTTTGTGCTTCTGCCAGAATGCTGTGCCACAGGACAGGCAGACACTGATATCAGCGATCATCAGCGACATTGAATTCCGTCTCTTGTGCTTGATCCTCTGATGCTTTAGCAGGTTTTCTCGCAAGCAACGCGAGCAGCATTACCTGAAGGACACAGCGTGCAAACGAACGACTTGACAGCAGACCTCTGGGGTGGCGCGTCCTTATCACATGCTGACTCGTTAAAGCGAATACGATTGAACAAGGCCAACAAGGCCACCCCATTCCGGACCATGAATGTTTGCCACCGGTCGCCGTCAGCATCAGGGTCGAAGCCAAGAAGCTGATTTGGCAGCGGGAGCCGTTGGCACATGTAGCGCAAGTCATCACGGATTTGAACAACCCATGGGTGTTGTTCCATCACATGCAGCAGATAGCAAAGCGAGAAGAGGCCTCCGTTGGCACATGCACAAGCGGGCAAGGTAAGAGAGCCTCCCCCGCCGTATGATACAATCGACG